AAAAGTGTTTAAACAACACCGGTATAATTTTTATTAAGTATTATATAGTTTAATAATTTTATATTAAATATAAGTTTTGTAAATACAATCATTAAATTATAATTTCATATCACTTTATATGTTTATATCAAATTTTGTTAAAATTAAATAACTTGAAGATAATTAAAGTATTTATATTTTATTATATTTTAAAATGTATATATTACGTTAATTTTGATTTATAAAAATGAAATATTAAATTATCTTTGATTAATATAAAATTTTGTATATATGATCTAAGAATAAAAAATTTTCGATCTCATGTTTGGATTCATAAAATTCATATTTAATATAAAATTATTGAGCGGTGTAATACTTAATAAAAGTTACACCGATATCGTTCGAACCCTCAACAATCATATACTATTTTTCTTTTGGGGTATAGTTGTATTTTTTATATCCGTTAATGGCGATGAGGTATGTCGTATGCCTATTATTGTGATTTATTAAAGATGAAGAATCTTACATTGATTTGAGTGAGAAATCCTTATTATTGTGAGCTATTTACCGTGATACATCACTAGTTGTATTAGATTGAACAATGTAAACTCTTGATAAAATTAGTTGAAGAAAATCTCGAGTTTTGATTAAGGATTAGATATTATTAATCAGATTAGGTGTAAGTTACAAATGTCTGACGATGAAATTAAGATAAATTTCGATGTATTATGCTCTAACCTTTCTTTTTAATTTACACAATTTATATTATTTTTTAATTTATATATCTATTAGACCTTACACATTCGCAAAAGGCATATATTAATCAAATTACTACATCAAAGAAAATCAGCTTAAATTGATTCGATAGTTATATCCTCCGTATTTTTGATAAAATGTTTGCCAAAAGTCAAACTGAATTATCTTCCTCCGAAATTGTTGGTCATTTGGGCTACACTATCTTCTAACATACTGTCATTTCCCTTTTTGTTAAGATATATTTTTTCACCTAAAATTTGATACAAGTAAGAAGGAAATGAAATTTAAATTAATGACATCAACAAGCATGTAATAAAAATATCATAGCATATATATATAGGATAGGTTACGTCATACATGGTTATTTTGAGTAGGGGTGGGCAAAAAAAACTAAACTGAACTGAACTAAACTGAACTGGTGATGAACTGTACTATAAAAAACTGAACTGAACTGTTTAAAAAAAACTGAACTGAACTGAACTGTTGTAAAGTTGAACTGTACTGAACTATAAGAACTGAATTGAATTATAAAAATTGAATTATTTTTATAAAAGAATAAAAATTAAATGTGTTTAACATGTTATGTCTTAATGGATTAGCTCAATAGTCTAATAACCAAAACTTTAGAAAAAAAGTGATTTGAAAAAAATTGTATCAATTTTGTCGAACTTAACGGATCAATTGAGCTATGTTGAACTACTTATTTTTAGGCTTAAAATTTACAGAGTTTGTTTGATTTAATTTTATATTTTTGTCCTTTGAAAAATTTAAATAAAATGAAAAATAAAGTAAAGTTGGCAAATGTGTCCTATTTTGATAGATCAATGAGTCAAAATTGTTCAATTCAAAATATCATAACAGTTTATTGCATAGTTTAAAGTGTAGTTCAGTTCAAGTTTTTATAGTATAGTTCAATGACACAAACATGTTTTTAAAATAGAGAATGTAAATGTCTTTATTTAAAAATAAAAAAGATAAAATTAAAAATTGACAAAAATAAATAAAAAATAAAAAGATAAGAAAAATATAATTTAACTTAAAGAATAAAAATAATTATAAAGACAAAAACCAAAAACACTCATTTAAAAAAAAAATACATACTTTTAAACAATTTATTTCAGTTTTATAATAATTATGTTAAGAATGGCTACAATGATTTCTGTGTGGATGTACTACAGATTATAGTACATTGTACTACTTTGCAAGAGAGCGGCAATAAATTAAGGTCTGGAATTTGACTAATTCAATTTGACTCTCATTTCGACGATTTAGAGAGTGTAACAGCAATTTGAATATCATTGATTACATGCATTAATTGGTGATTGAATTAAATTAAAAACAATTAAATTTGACTAATCGTAAATTGTAAATTACACATATTTAAAGCCATCGATTGATTGAATGATGGGACAGGATCAGATCCTTGGGCATGGCAGAACAGATTCCAGTTATTAACAGTTGACTGAATGAATGGATGAATAGAATTTTTAAAAAAAATGAAAATCCAAATGAACACAAAAATCAGTAGTAAAAAGTAAAAGGCGTAGGTAGGACCATAATTTCTGACAATTCATTCTTTGTTGGATTGCTTATGAACAACCAATACACAGAGATTCATTTCAGAGGTCAAAAACGAGAACCACAGGAGTAACACCAAACCACAACAGATGCTCAAATCACAACGCATATTCCAAACCTAGAATTACCACAATTAAGGGAATACAACACATTTCCCCAATTTCACTCACTAAACCCTAAATTAACCAATCCTAATTCCTCCAGCTTCCACCATCCGAACCACCACCACCTCCTCTCGAGTACCGGGATCCACCATCGCCATAACCGCGGTCTCTGCCACCGCCATAACCACCACCGCCACCTCCATATCCGCCGCCGCCGCCACCATAACCTCCGCCACCACCGTTGCGATTATATCCTCCTCCACCTCCCTCACGGCGACCGCCACCATATCCACCTCCACCACGGCTATATCCACCGCCACCGCCGTAGCCTCCGCCACCACCACCGCCTCCGTAGCCACCTCCACCACCGCCTCCCCTTCCACGGGACTGAGCCTCGTTGACAGTGATGTTCCGGCCGTCAAGATTCTGGCCGTTCATTCCTTCGATGGCGTCTCTCATCGCCTGCTCCGTGGCGAAGGTGACAAATCCAAATCCTCTGGATCTTCCAGTCTCACGATCGTTGATGACCTGAAGACGCGAAAAAAAACACGGAATCGCATGAGATCGGAGAAAAACAGAAAGGAAAAAATAAAAGAAAAAGAGATTAGAACCGATCGATCTTCTTCTTTGAATCAAAGACGAAGATGAACGTACCGATTGGTGTGAGTAATAAAAGAATGATTATAGTAACACAAGTATCATAGATGAAGTAACGCAAAACAGATCAGAAGGGATCGAGAGAATCCAAATCCGAATGGTGTCAGATCCGATCCCTGCGACTAACGGACCTTCGATTCGACGATCTCGCCATACTGAGAGAAGGCTTTCTCGAGAGCGTCGTTGTCGGTGGCCCAAGCAAGCCCACCAACAAAGCATCGGTACTCTATTTCTGCAGAAGACATGCCTACGGGACACAAAGGGAAACAAACAGATTAGCACGATCAATCCTCGCTACCCTTCATACTTTCTTATATAGCTCTTAACTACGGTTCCTTAACCACGGTTAATCTACCACCGCTCTCTACTTTCTTTTTATCACTAATTCCTTCCTCCACTTGCTTTTTTTTTTTCTTTTCATTTTCATACTATATAATACATTAAAAATTCACAAATTCAATTATTCGGGTATGAAATTTTATTCAAGAGATTCATTTTTTAAAAATTAATAATTTTTCCATACAACTAAATTTTAAAAATAAATTTATAATTAAATTAAAGTTCGAATTTTGTTTTATGTATGAAACGCATTAAATCTTAGGATTAGTTATCCTAACCTTTAAGGTACCTCCAATGTAGCGAAAAGATTAGTTATTACTATCGACGGTGTATACGTTAGAGAAAAAAAAAATCTCATAATGATAGCATATCGTGATTTTAAGGGAATGTAAAAAAAAAAAAAAAGAAACATTAAGATATTTGAATGGGCCTTAAATATCAGAGTTATGTTGAAAAAAAATATCTGATAGGCGGAAGTACAGTTGTGTCCCTGGGTTGGGAAGAAAACAATCTTCACTGCACTACCTTTGAGCTTCGGCCCACTGTTTACACTTCGGACTTGGTCATTATGACGCGTAGGCCCCTCTTTCAGGATATGCTAAGTTAATGAATTTACTTTCCAGTGTGTTTGGACCAAGAAATTTAAATTATTTTTATTTATTTTTATTATTTCTTAAATATTTTATTTGAATAAATTAATTCAAATTTAAAAATTTTAAATTTTTGTTATTGATATAATAACTTGATTTTTACTATATATATTAAAATTTTAACATTAATTTTTACAAAAATAAATATTCGTTAATTTTTTAAAAATTAATAATATATAATTTAATAATTTTAAAAATATTTTTGAATATTCAATAATTAAGAGATAAAATATATATGTGTGAAATAAGAAATAAAATATTAAAAAAAATTCTTAAATTTTTAGAAAAATTTAAAATTTTAATGTTTTAAGGAATTTCAAAAATACTTAAATTTTAAATTTTTTTATTACTTTTCTATACAAATAAAATATTTCATTTCAAAGTATTTAAAATTTAAAAAAAATTGCTTCATTTAAATTTATATTATAATTATTGAATTTACTTTGAAGTTATCATGCTCAACCATTATTTTTCAATTAAAAATATTATAAAAGTTACACTGTTATACTTATTAAATTTACTTTGAAGTTATAAAATGGTCAACCATTATTTTTCAAATAAAAATATTATAAAAGTTACACTCATTAAGTTAAATTTATATATATATATATATATGTCAATTATTTTTATTTTTAATCCTTTGATTTTTTTTTAAAAAATTGTTTTGTTTTAAATTTATTTTAATTTTAAATCTCAACACGTTATATTATATTACTAGTATGGTTATCCGTGCAATACACAGATTATTAACTTAAAATACATTTTATATAATAATATATAATAAAAAAATTTTTTTTATTATTATATGTTTTAAAATGTATTTTATTTATATTTTTAAATTATTGTTATATTTTTTTTTTATAATAACATAAAAAAAAGTTGATTATGTAATATTTATGTTATATTTGTTTTAAAATGTATTTTATTTTTTTATAATTTAAAAAAAAAAAAGTTGTTAGTTGAAATAGTCTAATACTTATACTCTTTAACCAAGGATTAGAATTTTTAAATTTGGTTATGAAGTCGAGACTAGAGGTACCTCTTCATTCTTACGGGAACAACTTAGTGAAAAAAAAGTTATACATTTTTATCAAAACAAAAAACTATCTTAATTATCAATTGTGTGAATTCCTTTTAAAACTTTGTTGTATGTGCTAGACATAAATTGATTAATCTTTTAAGATTTTTCTTGCTAGGAGTTGCAAAACTATGTTTTTGTTGCATTATTGTCTTAAAGATGCTAGTAACTTACATATATTGTAATTATTGGTTGATTGAGTTATTTCATCTTTTCAAATTTGTGATAGTTAATTATGTCAATTAATTAAGTTTTATGAATTTAATATGCTTAAAATGAAAGAACAAAAATACAAAATTGTATAGTTTAACCATCTCACTATTATGTAATCAATATTTATTAATCAACAAATAAAATATCTTGTTGAGATAGTACATCAAGGAAATTTTGAAGAATAACTTAAATTTTACTACTTAAAATAATATAAATAAATAACACTCAAACAAATGTAATTCTTAACTTATAGCATTCTAAACATGATATATAATCCTTCTTTTTAAGTTGAATGATACGCAACATTTTTTTCATTTATGAGTTAGTCAACAATAACATATATCAGATTGTCTATTTTTCAAACCTCAACATAACAATCTCGTAAAAGAATTGAAAGACATGTATTATTAAATGTATAGAATAAGAACAAAAATCAATAATAAATTAGAATTTAACATATATTTTATAAAATTTATAAACCAAATGAAAAGATAATAATGAATGTAAGGAATCAAAATTTTAAATTTTTTTCATAAGATAGAGATTTCATAAAATATAAAGATAATTTATGAATTCATCGGTAACACAATAGGCTTTTTCAAATAATGTTGATCATCTGCAAATTTTTTAGTTTTACTTACAAAAGCAACAACAATCTCTCGATGAAATGTCATTCCTTTTAACTCATTAATTCATTCTTCATTATCTTTTGAAATATGATTGTGATTAAGACCAAAGACGGATCTAGGTGAAACATAGTAGGGGTACCCCACTACCATTTTACAATTTTACATAATAAACATACTTTTTCATTAGAAAAAATAGTATATTTTAAGAAACAAAAGTTATAAAATTATATATGTTTAAATTATCATATATATATAAAATTTAAGTTTGAAGAAGATATTTATTTATTTGATATTTTTCAAACTCTTTAAGGAGATTAGTTTTTATATATGACGAATAATATTCCTTAATATAATTTTTTAAAAA